CTAAAGATATTTCTTACTGTTTTATACACTGTTTTATTTGTGATGGAATAATTTGAACATCTGGTTACCCTTTCACTGTCGGTCCCGTATCACAATCTTTTTGCAGTCACGACACCCTTTAAAAGTATGCAAAATCTTGAGGCATCCCAGTCTAAAATATAATGGATTTTAATGAGGGAACCCCTTGCGAAAAAATAACAAAGTGGGGTTTCTCTGCTTCACAATGAAGTCCCCCCTTCAAATCAGGAGTCCCACTTCACCAAACCCCCCTCTTCTTGATATCAGAGTCCCCCTATACATCAGTAGCCCACTTCAGAAGCCCACCCTTCACATGAGAAGCTACCCCCCTTTACATCAGGAGCCCCCTTTTCATATCAGAGTCTCCCCTTTTACATCAGAGTCCCCCCTTTTAGATCAGAGTTCTCTCTACACATTAGGGGTCCCCATTGCAAGGCACCTCTGAGGAAGCCAGAAGGCCCCTCACGGTGCCACAGTACCCTGGTTGAGAAATAATGATTTCGATTGTAAGAAATATTAATCTGACAAGTTCTCGCCTTGTTTACTAAAGAAAATATATTTCATTTCTGTCTGTATTGCTGTTTAGTTATTCTCACTTCCTGTCTGCTATTGGGTACCCAGAAGGACAAGAATTGAAGTTAAATCTCTCTAACGGAGCCCTGAATAGCAGTAAACACCTGACAGGGATTCTAAACCTTTCCCACTCTATCCAAACCTATAACAAAGATTTACTAGCAAGTGATTACAACACTAGAGAAATTCACCCTGTTTGTACTGGTGACCGTTATGACTAAAAGGGAAAGTAAATCAAAATGTTGGGCCGTTATTAGAACAGGAAGTGATGGGAAATCTTTCAAGGGCAACACTAGAATTGGTAGCCCTGCTGACCACCAGGGATTTGCCTCACTTTGGCGGAATTTCCTCTCACTTCCTGTTGTAGCTAATGGACAGAAAGTGAAGGGAAATTTCCCCAGTGGGACATGGATGACTGAAAAAAAGAAGACGGGTTATAATGTTTCCAAAAGTTTTGGCTTCAGTTCTACTTTAAGCATTCAACTATGTTGTGCAATTAATAGTGGTCCACATAAACTACACGTCGCCTACCACTGTACTATGTTTATTTGTGTGCAGTGTCCCAGTGTAAACAGAGGTCCCTCAGGGATCTTTCAGGATTGGGCCCATATGTCCCAAATCATCAACACATGATGATTTGGTACATGTCGAATACTCATGCTGTAAGTATAGTTTATCTGGCCCATTGTGTTGATTGTTATAGGTTTGTTGTAACCCCAACGTAGAATGTAGAATTTCCAATATGTCTCCTGCAATTGATATAACACTGTCATATGAGGTAATATTACCAGACATTTCCTTCATGTCAGATTCCCACAAGCATTCCAATGAGCCCCTGTGAAAATGGCAGTTATTGAGTGATTTTGGGATCCGGTACAGCTCCTAACAGGACAAAGTGACATTCCTTCATTTCTATGTGGATGTGCAGGCCCACATTTTATTTCCTGTGTACATGTGTAAAAATGTACAACAAAGCATAATGCCATTTGTGGCTACATAGTAGGCAGTGTAATGAGAAATCCAGAGTTATGTTTTAAACAGATTTTGACTTTTCCTCTTTGTGTCTTTTTTTCATTTATTTCCCAGTGAGCATGCTCGTGTCTGATACAGTATTTATTCAAGAAGGCCCAGAGGACAAATTAACAGTGTGATACTGTAGAAGCTGCCTAACGGTTTTTACAGCAGGCTTTCAAGCTTTACAGATAGACATACAGGAGGGACATTCAATCCACAGAACATACAGCACAGTAGTTGGAAGAATTATCTGTTTTTAAAGCTGAACTACAGGCAGATGTAAAAAAAAAAAACCTCCATTTAATACAGTTATGTATTCATTAGAGCAAACATGAAATCAGTTTTTAAATACAGTTAGACTCCATTCACACGAGTCTTAAAGTCATATTAAACTCTCAAACTTTTTTCATTATTGAATCCAGATCAAGCAAATAAACAAAAAGTAAATTTTCGCCCAAGAATTTAAGTTTACCATGTTTCCAAATAGCTGGCTCCAACTCTCTCTGCTCAGCTTTCCTGACTTCAGTCAAAAATCACAAAGGACAGCACAGACTACAGCAACTATCCATCTACTGGCTTGGAGGAGGGTCGGATGGAGGGGGGCAGAGAGTGGCCTTGCTGTGTCTGTGTATCTGTGGAGACACACCCAGCTTACTAGTGCACACAAGGTTGGCTCCATAGGACCCTGCAAAGGAAAGCAGCCACCCTAAAACAGGATATCAGGGCCAGTGCTAAGGGAAAGTAATTTACTCAGCATTTGAAATAGCGTAACATTTTGACTTGAATATCACTTTAAGGCTGCGCTTGGTTATTCATTTTGCATGAACCAATGGATTCTTGCAGCAGGTATCCCAGGTGTGTCTGTACCAGTAGCCGCTGTGCCCGCTGAAGTGAATGATAGGTTGACCGCGGCCGCATCTGTCAGTGACTGGCCGCATGTGATCCTACATGGAGCGATTACCTTTAATTTAGGATAGATGATTGTTGCTGGACGCAGACAGATTTCACCCAGGGACAATCGTCTATCCTGAACCACAGGTAATTGTTCCTTGTACGATTGCCCGCTGTGCCTGTAGGTTCTTGCAGCAAGAATCCCCAGCCGCAGCCTTAAGCCACTTGTGAAAGAAGACTAAATAGGAGAGCCTGAATGTACCTTGATATTGGTAACTTGTAATCCCTTGTAGAACAGCTCTCAAACCGGGAGAGGGAAGGGGGGTACTTAGAATCTGCTGCATACATGTGCTCACTAGAAATGTGCTGAAAGGAGAAAAGAGAAGAGTGATGTGCTTATTAGCCCCCTGGCTATCCTTCATTGCCCAGTCACAGGCTGGAGGTAAGGAGGTGACCAAGCTGTAATGCTTAACTGGCATAGAGAAACGTGAGGCCACCAACATGGCTGTAGTGTCTGTTAAGGCAGTCATATATGCATTTCAATTTGTATTTCGCTGCTTTCCTGAAGTTCAGATGTAACACATAGATGCTACCACTGCTTCACAGATACCAAATTGTAATGTGAATGTATGCTTCCTGAAGAAAATTAACACATATTGAAAACTGGGATTTCATGTAGGATTTTTGAGAATACAGACACTCAACAATTCAGAATCACATAGGGTGATCCATTTCAAGTATTAAAAGAAGATAGTTGTGACAGTCAAATAGCTAGCATTTTCAGAAGGAGGGGTTTGAAATAGGGACCTCTGGGGGTTTCTCTCATGAAAGGTTTCCTCTCAAATATGGGAGACGAAGTGCTGTGAGGGGCAGATAGTAATGAGGTAGATATTGGTTATTGCTGCACAATTTTTGATAAGGATTGTAGAAATTAATGGTGGGTCTACTGTAAAGCTAATGTACTCTGGAGCTGCCATAAACCCTTATAAATCATGGGCACATTTGCTGCAACAGGGAAAAATCCTTCCTTGTCCCCAAGGGTAATTGGACACTACCTGGATCAACAATCTCTGATTTTACTTATTCAATGGTAAGAGACTTTTTTCTATGCATTTAGAAACGCATCCAGCTTTTTTAACGACAGTCTACAGTGTAGGCTTTTAAACAGCACTTTCTGTATGCGGAGGTTAAACCTCTTTTCCTCCAGATGCAAAGAGTGTCCCTTTGTCATTTGCAATGGCCTTAAAAGAGAATTATGGCCCATAGTTCTCTTAAGCTTATATCTTTAATTGGGATGCACCGGTTTTTCGGTATCGAGTACGAGTACCGATATTTTGCTTTCGGTACTCACCAATACCGAGTACTGATACCGTTGCTTCTGCTGGCAAGGAGCCGGCTTGCCGGGCATTTAGGAAGCCAGGCAGAGGGTAATGACATGCTGTCTGGCTTCCTGTTTGCCGGGGAAGCATGCTCCATGTTGTTTGGCTTGCTTGATTGTGAATCAGCATCGAGCCGGCTTCCTGGCCAATCAGCCTTTCCAGCCAATCAGCAAGGAG